GTACAGCAGTACATTGACAGAGGGGTCGTCAAGTTTCAAGACGGACGTATAGTGCGAAGTGATGGAACACCTATCATGCGGGGTTTCCAAGAACCAATAGTAAACGCATTAGAGCGAACCTTCCCTCGAACAAACTTGGTAACTGTACCGTATGAGGCAGACTTCTTAGAGCCAGAGAGTACAGATGCCGAATCGGATTCAGAAACAGAAGATGACGATGAAGATTATGAAGCAGCAGTCTATATGGCTCGCGAAGGACTGCGAAGCGGAGACAGAAGCCTGAGAAGCTCCAGGAAGGAGGTCAAGCCCTATAATGCGGACAACAGCCGACGATCGTCACCGAAATCATGGGTCGGAAAGAAACCACCCAGTGACAACCAAATGACTACGGAAGGACCATCCAAGTTAGCGCGATTTGAGATGCGTCCAGTCGATGTATTCCAGAGAACGTTCCAACCTGGTGACCAAGATACAGTCATGGAAGACATATCAGCTCCGCCTGCGCAACCATTACATGTGATTAATGAAAAATCACCAGCGGACAAACAACCGGTAATGCACACAGGAATCAAGTCAGGTCCAATGGTGTCGATTAATATGCGAGAAGTGGACAAGAACCTAGTGTATCAAAAGCTACAGAACGCGACTATCGAGCTTACTCATAAGGAGATCTGCGCGATCGCTCCAGATATAGCTAAGCGGGTGATAGCCGATAACAAGTTACAGCGGGCGCCCAGCGAGGAAGGAATACAACCCACAGTGGCTCGCATAGTGGGATCTGACTCCGCACCAACGCGAATGCCAATGCGGATGAGCGACATACGAGAAGGGCTTATTCAACTAGATATGGAGATCAACGGGATGACTGTTCCAGCGATTATTGATACCGGATCACAGCTTAATGTCGTGCATGAGTCAGTGTACAACCAAGTTATACGACTTCCTCTAGATAAGTCTCAGAAGATGCCGATGAAAGACGTAAATGGCGGTGTGGGAGAGCTGGTCGGATTAGTACCCAGTGTAAACATTGATTATGGAGCAGCACGCACAAAAGCGCACCTATGGGTATCGAAGACAATAGATTTCCCCTTGCTCCTTGGACGTCCTTGGCAGAAAAAGAACAAGATAAACATTGAAGAAAGGGATAATGAAGAAACGTACATTGTATTTAAATATCCACACCTTGGAACGGAGCTAGAGGTGCGAGTATCACCCGAATCTGATGACCCGGCCCGAGTTATGCCGGCCCAAATCGGAGATACCGGCTCCCGAGCGAGCCGGAGCGAGACGCACGAGTCCGGGCGTTCCCGGTGGCGTGGAAGTGATCACGTGCCGCGCGTGTTGAGCGCTCGCACGACGCCACTTCCGCTTATGTCAGCGCCAGCCACGGAAAGCGAGGAGTCCGCAACCGCCCCCTCTGCTTGGTCCCACATCGCCGCCGCCGACGCCGCCGCCGCCGCTTTCGACTACCGACTCGCCAACCGCCAACACGACACCGACTCCGATACCACCCCGAGCACGCCCGACACTGCCGAACGGGAAGCATTCGAGCGCGCAATCGCGCGCGCTGTTGGCCCACTATCATCGACGACTATTGCTGCCGCCAATGGCTATCGGCCCCTCATCCGCCGGCGGAGTCTCGACCCTGACAATGTCGAAGAAGTGCCAGAGACCCCCGAGGTAACGGAACGCGAAGCACCCAGGCACACGACGGGGTACGCCGTCAGCCCGCCGTTGACGAATACAGCTCCCTCAACGCCCACTACTTCAAGTATCGAGGCACCGCGTTCACCATCCATACACGGTGAGCGACCCTTCCACTACATACTGCTGAATATGCGCAATAGGGAGGACACACGCTTGTATGCGCGACCGATCGGAGCGGGATTATGGTATCGACTGGAGGCTTCCGAGGACGAGAGTGAGGAAGATCGGGCGAGATCGGTAAGAGATCTAGTAACTTGGTTTGATACGACTTTTATCCTATCGACTAACGAGCGGCGTCGCGTAGTGATCGGGCTAGGCCCAGTCGAACATGACAACGAAGTCTTCGACTCACCTCCTCCACCTCCTACGCCGGCACCAGGAACCTACCGTCTCGCACATTACTCAGAAGATGACGCGAGCAATGCGTCCGCGTCAGAAGACGACGAGATACACAAACTACGAACCGACGACCAGGTGGGTGTCATTAGTCTAGTATCACCATCGTCGTCGTTGCCAAGTCCAACTGCGCTAGACTACCGCCGAGAAGACGATGCCTTAGCCCAGCCACTATCGGAGGATAAGCTAGGGCACGAAGAGTCCACTACAGACGACCGAAGTAGCGCCGCAATCAGCACAGACGCTCTGTTGCCATCACCACCGATACCATCGTCAACGTTACCATCCGCGATAGGAGCTCGGGCCCGCACTACCGAGCAACAATGCAAGACTACAGACGCATTCGGCCAAACCACAGGTACGTGGTCGCCGACGCCGTTGCTCTCGACGCAACTCACGTCATCACAAGTTGTTGGACTACCAGTACAATACGCCACGGAAACATCGACGAGGTCGGTCGATGTCGCAAGTGCAACAGCTCAGCAAGAAGCCCCAATGTTATGTGTGACTGAGACACGACGATCTATGCTAACAACGACTACGCCCCAGACAGACAACGAAGTCAACCGACAGCAGTATCACCTGGTAAGCGTGCCAGGCTCAAGTGAGGCGACAACGCTTGACGAAACTCTTCCGTCACCCAGACAACATGCCCATAGCCCAGAAGACGGCCGACCGTCGCATCCACCAACGTACGCTAGACCAGCCATGTCGACACTTTCGCTCCCGAACTGGCCGCCTGACGAGCGCGGATCGGTCCTCCGTGACATTGTTATCACTTTCCTCAATATCGAACATCCCCGCGTCTGGACGCGGCGTCGAGCTGACTTGCCAGGTTGGCAAGAGATGCAAGACCTTCTCAGGACGACTACGGCAGTACCCCCGGCGTTTGAAGTAAGTCATGTCTTTGGGATGTTCGAAGCCCCTATCGAGATTCACGAGAATCTACAGGTGCGTATGCATATCGCCATATCGTTAGCCGAAGAAGACGACTCAGACTCTGAGCTGAGTATTGAACACACGGACTCAGACACGCAGAGCAGTGACGCACTCTCCAGTAGGAACCCGGAAGGACCAATGAACGGGTCAGAAACCCGGTCGAGCACAACTATCAAAACCAGGGAGGCCGAAGAGAACTTCGCTTACGCTCGAGGGGCTTGGGAGGCTTCACCGCCGGAGTTCGACGGCGACGTCTATGGTGAGCAAGTACCCCGCGTACTCGGGCTTCGGAGTGATGACTATGTCCAACAGAATTGTGCAATGTCACCCACGATTTTCGGCAACAATACACAAACGGCAACTATCGCCAAACTACCGCACAAGTACGGCGTCTGGGCGGAGGGTCCATCGCATCCCCTGGGGCCCACGACATTCATTGGACGAAAGGATATCCGATTACCGGAGGATGCGAAGAGTGCCCTCGTCGACGACCACCCTGCTGTAACGTATATAAGAAGCACCATTGACCTCGACTCGTCAGAAACTATCTACTTGCGAATCTCTCGAGCCCCCATTCAACCTCCACACTACAACAACCATTCGACCTCTTTGCTCACCATGTCCGACAACTACGACGCCGCCCCGTGCCCGATCGTCTTCGGGGAGGGCTTGCCACTGACGTTCAACTTCGACTTCCCCCTCAACGACCCAGCCGCCGCTGTGCGGCGCGCTACGCCTGATGTCCCGCCAGGTCTTGCACCTCACCATGCAGACATTCCAGGGCTTCTACTCTCGCTCCAGGATTTCCCCGGTCAGAACGAGCAGACGAATGTCGATGATGTCAACGCCACGATGGAGGAGCATGCCTACTTGATCAGAGAGGAAGCTCCGCTCGTCGTCACCATACCCGAGGCTCCAGGAAGTGCGATAGCCCTCGCGGACGACATCCCTCGCGTGAACGCACTCGTCGCCGCTCCTGTGCACCGAGATTACCTTCCTCAGTCGCCTGTACTTCCGAACGCGCCCCTCACTATGCGCAACATCGCGGATCAGCTCGGTAAGCGCCCGTCGTTGTATACACGGCGACAGAGTCGAAAACTTACGCCACCAATAGAACGCTTGCGCATCGAGGAAGCTCGACTTCAGCTCCCCGACGGGACTCGTCCACCGACGCCGTATGCGGTCGGCTTCCATATCAACGAGCTAGCTCAGACGCCGGCGCTGAACTCGTGGCCCGCGTTTCTCCGAGAGGCCCTCGAGCACAAGCTGCCGTGGTATCATAACGGCGGCTATCTCGTCCCTCGCGGCGAGGATCCGCAGAGCTCTGACCGAATCAAAGTTCCTATCCGCGCCGCATCGCCGCCTGGCTACCCGCATATGATACATGACTTAGCTTATGCCGACCCCACTATCTTCCGATCTTTGTCCGCGCCGCCGACGCCCAACGGCGCCGCCCGCTCTTGTACTTATACAATCGAACTCACGTCCACCCGACCGCCCGTGCACCCTCGCGATTTCATCACCGTTTCTCACTCTCCCCTTCCATCGCCTCCGCTTCCGCCGGAGGGAGCTCCAGCTATGCAACGTGAAGATACGCCGCCGAAGGTCTACATCTCCGGCGGTCTCTGGGCTTACATGCTTGAAGAGCTCGACAGACAGGGCCGCCGCTACATCCCCCTCGAACGCGAAGCCGAAGTCCGGGTCCCAGGCCTGGTGAACATTACTATGTCGTCTTCTCGCACCGGCGCAGGCGAGCAGCCCCCGTGCGTGTACCGCAGGCTTAATACACTCAATACTCACGCGAATAACGATGACAGGCCCGCCGATCGACCGGCATCCGCCCCGCTTTTCCTACCGTCACCACCCGGCACCTACGATTCCGACAGTGACTGCCACGAGTTGATGGACATGTCAGACTCATCTTCCGACTCGGACGGATCTGCGGAAGGCGCACGCTCCGACATACGGCAGGACTTGATCTATCTGAAGCGAGTCGGCGACTTCACGGCTCGCTCCGTTCGCCAGGTCCATGTCACCAACGCCAAAATGTATCAGCTCGTGCGGAGCCGGCTCGAGGAACTAGACGAGGCCATGTCGAGGCTCGTCGAGCAGGTAGGGGTCCATATGACCAAAACCTCCGAACTGACACACGGCACGTTCCGCCGTCTGCGCGATATCAAAGACGGGGTCGCCAGCGCGCACGCGGATGCGCACACTGCTCGCGACATCCTCGAGTCGTGGACGCGGGATGACCTTTATGACCGTAAGATTCCGCTATCGACTCCGCCGGATTTAGGACTTACACCCGAATTGCAGGGGACACGGATGTCGACATCGCGGCCGAAGAACGCGAGGCTCTCGAAGAATGGCTCGGAAACCGCAGCGAAGAATGAAGGACTCTTACCGCTAGTCCTCGGAGGTATGCAGTATAGTAAGATAGTTGACCGTTATCAGGCTCGTGTCATTGACAAGTATGCAACTCAGTCTGAAGTAAGTAGTTCCGTAGTATACTGAAATCCTGTTGTCTGCGAACCATGTACCTCTCATCAATACAAACTTGTGATACCTAATGACTCGAGTACTTTGGGCTTGAGTATTAACACAAGAATGCGAGAGGTGCAGCCAATTCAAGGACTTAGGATAAGTAACAAACTCGGGACTACCTCTTCTAAAGGACTTGTGACAATGCGCGAGTGGACGTCAACTCGAGAAGTGCCACCCACCACCCCTACGCGTCCAGACACGAGTACTTTGGTACCAGACCATACCTTATTAAGACACAGCCACACAGTCGAAGCCGGCAACTATGAAGACGAAGACGAGTGGATGACAGCCGTATGGGTCGGAGACCCATCTCAAGTAGACTTTACAGAATGGGGTGGTGGTAGCGTTCCCGCATTCAGCCTTTTGGACGCAGATCAGGCACCGCCCAGATACGTCAATAACATTCAATCAGCGTCAAACCCGGAGAACAACCTGTCGGAACATAACTACGTCCCACCACAAATAAGCGAAAATTGGACACACCCTGCGGCAGTGTTCGGAGCTTATAAACGAGTTGATCGTAAGGTAAGCCAGTGCCTGGCATCTATCCAGAAGATG